TGATTTACTGAATTTGTAATATTGATCGAGGCTGCTCCTCACCCAGATCTGATCAGGAGGCCTATGCTTGATCTGAACTTGTTTCTTTTTCATATCTGCTTTAGATGCAGGAGGGAGCCGCCTTCCCTCCTGCATCTTCCTCTTTTCTTCTTCCAAGTGTCTGCACCCACCCTCCCTTAGGTCCCCTGCTCATAATCCAACACCTTTCTAATGCAGGCCATTTCTAACCCAATGCCTTGGTTTGATAAAACCTTCACCAAAGAAACTGCATGGTTGTAGTGTGCTCCTCATGAATTTCTCTCAAAATGAAGGGAAGAACAGATAATCTCTGTTTGACTGGGTGGAGATCTTTTGTCTCTGATGATCAAAGTAAATGTTTCACATCCTTCAGCTGAGTCACTCCTCTAGCTACAGTTAGTCTACCTCTGATCTCAACACTTTGACCTCTTCACCCAGCAGATCTTTTGTTTAAATTTCTGATTGAAGCTTTGGTGGATTCATTGTTTTCCCAATGCGTGGGATAGAATGATTGAATTAAATCTCAGCTTCAAATCGAATATATTACTTTTCATCAAAGACAAAGTAGTTCCTCATTATGTAGATCAGCAAATCATGTGTCTCAGTTTTCATGTGGCATATCATTGTGTAGTCTTGTTTAATAAGGTAGGAAGATATATCCTGTGAAACTGAGAGTAAGTCAATATTACTGTTCGATAATGAAGTATTCGAAATACATTTTTCCATGGAGCAAAGAACACGTCATCTCCAGAACCTAATGTGTTTGCCTGTGAGTCTCATCACAACCTTTGAACATAGAAGAAAGCACACACTCATATAAAATGCTATTGGTGACAGGTCCACTCTCGCAGACATATTCAGTTTTGAACAGCTAATGGAAAATGCTTTGAAGAGTCCGTCTGGGCAGAAGCTGATCTATGATCTAAAAGCAGGGTGCAGATTCAGTCTGAAAGCCTAAGTCATTTGAGAGCAGAGCAGTATAAAATACTCCTTTCAGGAAATGTATTAAATATATGTTTACTATTCACTATTCGGTAGTGGATAAAGTAAGTGTTATTCCATGTTGGTCAGAAAAAGCTCTTAAAACACTGAAAAAGTGAAAAAAATGAGAGATGAGTCGGAAGCTGTCTATGTCCATGATGCTATCTTGGAATAATTGCATATATTGAAAATTTAAGTTCACCAGGGAAACAGGCCTTGAATGTTTTCTGACATTTTCCATTTTACACTAAGTCAAAGATCAGGAGTCTTCTGTCAGAACAGTATTCACAACATCCTTCACAAGCCATACCATTTTTTTAAACATATATCACATCAACCCCCATAATGCAGTTGGAACTGCTTTTGTTTAGCAAGGTGTCTGATTGCACGTGGTAGTGATGATGCTACTCACAGCAGGTTTAAGTCAAAATACCTTGTCTTTCTAAAGAATTAACTCCTTCGTTGTCAAACTCTGCATCGATCCCTCACAGAAACTTTTGTTGCTTCATTGCAGGCCAGAAAGAGAAACTGGTTATTCCTTGTGTTTTTTCAATATCTTGTGTTACTTCAGTAATCTGCTCTGTGACTGCACTTCCAGACAAACTGACGCTGAACAATTTGCCTGTGTCATATTGTCTCTGTCAGAATACAAAATGAGTGTTGACCTTATCCAAGACCTTTTGTTCTTGCAACACATTTTGTTAATCTGCATGTTTCAAGCCACAATGATGCTTGACACACTGCACATTGGGATCACTTGCTTGTCTTTTACTTTGACACCTTTGTCATCTACTTAAACCTATGAAAGGATGTGTGATGTCTGTTTTGGTGTTTCGTTGGTCACACATAAGAGGTGATACAAAACTGGGTGAGACAAAGGTTGTATCACTTACTTTAAATGCTACATGTTAAACCAGGCAAGTCAAGGCTGCACTGAGACTTAATATTTTAGACTCGTGCAATCGAATGACTCAAGAGAAGCAAAGATGCATCACTATTATTGTGCAATTAATGACAATGTGATTAAAAAATCTTGACAGCTGGAGGAAGCACAAAGATGACCTCTTAATTTCAATTCCATTTTTAAAACGCACTTCTACTGAAACTCTTGATGTTACCTAGTAGTTTGTTTATTTTAATCATTTCATTCACATACTTTATTTATAGTGATAGAAGTACCCCAGAACGTACTTCAACCAGAAAGTCCATCATTATTTTATCTGAGTTTTTTGTTTACTTTAATTATTTTATTTTATTTACCATATTTAATGCTTATAGAAGTACCCTAGACTGCCCTCTAACAGAAAGTCCATTATTGTTTTATCTGAGTTGTTGTTGTATCTATTGAGAAACTGAAATAAGTGCCTTTCTTGAGTGTATCTGGACTATTAATTCATTTCATCATGTCTTTTTTAGATTTGTTGTACTTTCTAACTGTGTTTTAAAAAAGGGTTATTGAAAACGAAAAATATTATTTAAAATTAATGCTGCTGCTTCATGATTGTAGGCAACCTGGCCAAGTTTAGCTGGACACAGAAGACAAAAAGAAACATTTTTAAGCATCCATGTGAGCAGGATTTAAGACAACAGTGCTCTCCTGTGTGTGTGCGTGTGTGTGTGTGTGCGTGTGTGTGCGTGCGTGTGTGTGTGTGTGTGTGTGTGTGTGTGTGTGTGTGTGTGTGTGTGTTTGTGTGTGTGTGTCGGCCTGTTTGTTGATTTATTTCTCCCTCGTGTCAAGTTTAATAGATTCTGCTTTTTCTTCCTCCCCTTCTTTCCACTTTTTTGTGTAGCAGACACAGGGTTAAATCTCTGAAAATCAATTTGTGAAACCATCAAACCCCACTGGGCAACAGAACCTCTTTGGCTTTATTTTCTACACAACACATTCAGCTGCATTCTGTATTTTCATGTAGTTTTCATCAGGTGGTCATTACAATGAAGAGCATCGCATTCTCCTCAGACAAAACATAGTTGTGGCATCAGTTGTTGAACTCAGGTGCCTTTACAATGGATGAGCAGCTCACTCTCTCTGTATCCATGTTCATAGGGTGTGTCTGTTGAGCTGCAGGGGCTATGTATGGATGTGTTTTCCTCCCTTTGTGCACAATGTTTGAAAGAGCCGCTAAATCTTTGTGCTACACTTTAATCTCCCACCACCAAAGACTGACTGTGTGAGGCGGGGACTATTCTGGGATGGCGTCCTTATTGAACTGTTTGTGTTTTCGTCCCAGGGTGATTGGCTCCACATCCTTGTTATTTCTATTTGACCACCAGGGGGTCCAACATAACATGTTTGTTATGATTTTTCTGCAGCTATGTACGAAACCCACGTCATAAGTGGGATCTGGAACATGGGACGTTGATATTTCACAGCATGTGTACATCAAATCTGTAAGCAGTTTGATTAGTCCAACCTACTCCTCACCATGTTTTCCAAGTACAGCAAATTGTCCACTTACAAAAAAAGATCCCACTTTGCTGTGTCACAGCAGCAGACTTAGGTTGATGTATAGTGACCTCCTGTGTTGAAATGGTAAAATACACACATGCTGGCAGCAACAATGATGTTTGTTTTGGCTCGATGAGCAATAGCAATTATTTGAAAGAAAAAA